GGAAGGGGCCACACCCTTGCACTTCAGATCATAACCTTCCTGCAATGTTTCTCATGGTTTCCGTTCAGCCAGAAGCACGGGAGGGGTGCACACCACACTAGCTGAGCAGCTGGCTGGCCCCCTGGCCTGCGCCCGTGAGGAGTACTAATGCCAGGAATCCTCTGCCCAGCAAAGCCTTGCAAGGTCCCCGGTGGGGATCTCGGCCGAATGTTGGGATGGGATGCGTGCTTGGATAAGGACACCCCAGTCCCTGCTGTTGACTTGGAATTTTCCTGAGAGCTCTTGGTCTTTCCCCTTCCAGCTGGTCACAGGACACGTGGGTGAGGGGACCTTGTTCATTTTGCAGGACTTTCTTTAGTCAAAGGCAGCCGAGGAGGAGGGGGACTTCTAGACTCCACCCAGTCTGCGTGGGTGCAGGAGGAGCACTGCGCAGGCGCCCAGGACTGACACAGTGAGGGCAGCGTGAGGGGCTTTACTTAGCGAATCCTTTATAACTACTCTCCCACTGCCACCCCTGTCGAGCATGGATGCCGCTTGGGCTCTGCGAGTGTTTGGCTGGGTACCTTCCTCTTACCACGAATGTGCGCCTTACCCTGCTCCTCCTCTGACTCCCACATCAGGCTACCCTTTCTGGAGACACCATATCACTACGCTTGGCTCTGACCCTCCTCCCCGGGCCCGTCTTGGCATGAATGCCCTCATCACTGGTCCTCTGCACCCGCATCCTGCTCTGCCTACCTAACTTAGGACTGGATTCTTCAGGGCGGGCAGGAGATGCCTGGTCCGTGTACCTGAATGACAGCTCTGGGATGGAAACGGTTTCTATTTTATAATTCCAGTTTTATAGTCATAGTGAAAGACACACATATTTGTACCATAGCAATCCGTTGGCGTGTCTTCAAAAGGAAAAATACAGTGTGAATAGCGATTCAAATCAGAGGGAGGTTTTCTATTTTTTAAAAATATAATTTTATTGATTCCAGAGAGGAAGGGAGAGGGAGAGAGATAGAAACATCAATGATGAGCGAATCATTGATCGGCTGCCTCCTGCATGTCCCCACAACCCAGGCATGTGCCCTGACCAGGAATCGAATCCTGACCTCCTAGTTCATATGTGGACTCTCAAACACTGAGCCACGCAGGCTGGGCCGAAAGGAGGTTTTATATTTGCGGTTGTAGGGAGCAGGACCAGGACCAGGCAGCAGAGGCCGTCTATCTAGGTAAGGGGCAGCCTGCCCAGGCGAGAGAGGCAGCAGGCAGGATGGTGGAGGCAGGAGAATTGTCCCCCAAGTGGAAAGGACTGACCCCTGCTGTCTGCTCCCCCAGATGGCCCGGGTGCTGCAGAAGGATGCAGAGCAGGAGTCTCAGATGAGAGCAGAGATCCAGGACATGAAGCAGGAACTCTCCACCGTCAACATGATGGACGAGTTCGCCAGATACGCCAGGCTGGAGAGAAAGATCAACAAGATGACAGATAAGCTCAAAACTCATGGTGCAGTTTTTTATCTTTTGTTTTGAATTTTTATAAGAGTTTATTTGATCCAAACTGATGACATTACCGGGAAGCAAGACCTCAAATGCTCCCCTCATGGTACTGTTTTCATTTGTAGTTTTTGGAAAGCTTCATAAGAGCTGATTCATAGGAAAACCTTTTCTGTGAGGATTCGTAGAATACACGCACTGAATCTTGGATGTTCTAAAGGTTGATATAAACCTTGAAGTTGTCTAGGAGAAACCCAATAATGATAATTACATTACTTTCTCTTTATTTTGCTGGTAAACCTTTGCTTTCTAACAGAAACATTCAGGATACTCTTAGAGTTTCTTCAGAGCCAACTTGAGAGGTTGTCATTTTCAAATTTAACTTTTCTGAGAGAAGCCTAGAAAAGAATCTCACAGTGGATTCTCAGGGGCTTTCTTTTTCCTTTTTTTTTTTTTTAACATATTTTTATTGATTTCACAGAAGAAGGTAGAGGGAGAGATAGAAACATCAATGATGAGAGGGAATCATTAATTGGCTGCCTCCTACAGGCCCCCTGGTGGGAATCAAGCCCGCAACTGGGGCATGTGCCCTTAACTGGAATCGAACTCAGGACCCTTTAGTCTGCAGGCCAGTGCTCTATCTACTGAGCCAAACTGGCTAGGGCCTCAGGGGCTTTCTTATTCTGTTCTCTAAAAAGTGCTATCCGAGTGTAGACTCAGGTCTTACTCATTTTGATGTTTGCTACTGTCCATAACAGTCTGCTGTGATGACGACGATTTTCACAGGGCAGCCTGTGTGCTGCGAGCATGCACGGTGAGAGAGCTGTCTGCTTGGCTAGTAAAACAGGCAGAGGGGCCTGCCCAGGACCCAGGCAATTAGGCTTCCTTATGGATTAGTGTACAGTGTAGACCGGGGAATCGGGGAGGAACATTTAGTTCTATTGATTGGTAAGTGCATTGTGAAAAGAATCTCTGATTTAGATGAATAGCTTTTTCTAAAAAATATATTTCATTGATTTCAGAAAGGAAGGGAGAGGGAGAAAGAGAGAGACACATCAGAGATGGGAGAAAATCATTGATTGGCTGCCTCCTGCACGCCTCAGACTGGGGATCCAGCCAGCAACCTGGGCATGTGCTCTGACTGGGAATTGAACTGTGATCTCCTGGTTCATAGGTCAATGTTCAACTACTGAGCCACACCAGTGAGGCTAGATGAATAGCTTTAAGGTTTTTTTGAAATTAAAGCTTCACATCCCACTCTGTGTGTGATTCTATTTTATTTTTAATTTTTGAAAAAGAATTTTATTGATTTCAGAGGGGAAAGGAGAGGGAGAGAGAGGTAGAAACATCAATGATGAGGGGGAATCATTGATCAGCTGCCTTCTGCACGCCCCCACACTGGGGTCAAGCCTGAAACCCGGGCTTGTTCCCTAACTGGGAATTGAACTGTGACCTCCTGGTTCATAGGTTGATGCTCAACCCCTGAGCCACACTGGCTGAGCTCTATTTTAAATAATAGCAGAGTGGGTGATGTAAGACACCCTATTTTATACGTACATGCATAATTAGGAAATATTTTGTGAGACAAAAGAGCACTTCTGGCCCTAGCCGGCTTGGCTCAGTGGATAGAGCGTCAGCCTACGGACTGAGGGGTCCCCGGTTTGATTCCGGCCAAGGGCACAGGCCTGGGTTGTGGGCTCGATCCCCAGTGTGGGGTGTGCAGGAGGCAGCCGATCAATGATTCTCGCTCATCATTGATGTTTCTATCTCTCTCTCCTCCCTTTCTCTCTGAAATCAATAAAGAAATATATTTAAAAAAAAAGAGCACTTCTGTGTATTTGAATATTTTCTTCTCCTTTCAGGGCTGATATAATCGTTTCATCCTGTTTTTCCTTTCAGTGAAAGCACGGACAGCGCAGTTGGCCAAGATCAAGTGGGTGATGAGTGTTGCCTTCTACGTATTGCAGGTGAGTGTCCTGTGGTGCCACTGGGTCAGTAAAGCTGGTGATGGACTTTGCTCCACTTCGGCCCCTGGAATCCAGGCTTTTCCACCTTCAGCTGCTGTGCCGAGTGTCCTGCAAGCATGTAACTCCGAACACTCTGAATTTATAAGTTAGACGAAAAGCCTTTCTCTTGATTAGTGTCGTTAAATCTTGGGATTTTTAAGCAAATGAACACCTAAGCAGCTCCTCTGGAGTTCTTCATGTGGCCTTCACTCCAGCGCAGGTTTGGGAGGCTGGGGGTGAAGTGAGAGAAGCTTACTTAGAAATGGTGTTTTCTGAGCTGGCCAGTGGTTTTGGCTGTTGCTTCCTCCCTGGTCTACAGATGGGGAAGTGACTGTCTATTCTCCAGGTGGGGAACCCGTATTGTCATTAAAGTCCAGTACCACTGACTCACAGCTTTCCTAGGGGGGACTTTTACTTGCCTTACCGTGAGGTTGCAGATCTGCTATGGCTGCTTTAAGTGATCTCTGAGGTTCAGTGTTATGAATGATGTTGATTGGGGTAAAGGACTCTGGCTGTTTGGTTATAGTAAGTACTTTGGTCCTGAGGCGCTGTCACTGATATGAGATAGGTTTTTCCAGGGACTGAATTAAGCCAGGGGCTCTCTTTTAATTAAAAAAAAATAATTTATTGATTTGAGAGAGAGAGAGAGAAGGAGAGAGAGACACAGACAGACAGAGAGACAGAGTCATAGACATAGA